ATCAAGCAGAGTGATTGCCCACTGATCAAATAAGTAACAAAAAAAAAATGGCAAATGAAAAAACACAGAACAGGAGGGACAAAGTCCAATAGGGTTTTCTTGCTAGATTGAAAAAAATAAGCAAACAACCCAAATAAAACACAGTTTTAAAGCCGTTCAGTTGTGTTTCCAAGATCCTTGAAACAAGATCTACAACATATGGGTAATCTTGGATTTACAACCACAGTTGGGTCCAGAATTTCTGATCTTAAGCAATACAATTGTTTAAGTGAGTTTCATGGTTGTTGTTTTTTGCCATAGTTGTTAAATGAATCCCTGTGATTGTTAAATGAAACATGCAGTCATTAAGTAAATCTGACTCCTCCATTGAGAAGCCAGCTGGGAAGGTTATAAATTCTGATCACATGGCCTCAGGATACCACAACCATTCTACATGGCTTCCCGTGGTGAGATGGACCGTATATATACTTAATAATCTAAATAAATACATGCCAGTTGCCAAGTGCCTGAATTTCAATTTTGTGACTGTGGGAAGGCTGCAACAGTCATAAGTGTGTAAACCACTTTTTTAGTGCAGTTATAATTTCAAATGGTCAGTAAATGAATGGTTGTAAGTTGAGGACTACATGTGCCAGGATGCAAATCAAATGCAAATCGTCACTGAGTAAGGCACAAGGACTAGTTCATTAGCACTGAAGTCCTTTGATAAGAATTCCCAGGCTGGCTTATTGCATCTCTGGTCTTTCTGCCTTTCTAGCCCAGTAGGGGCCCCAAAGAGGACCAGTTGGAGAGACAGATCATGGAGGAAGCCTATCTAGGCAGCTGCTAAGAGCTGACACCATCTTAATGGCACCTAATCATCATACAGGAAATGTCTGGAAGGTACTTCTGCCATAAGAGGCATTTTACAGCACAGGTAGTCCTCGAGTTATGAATGTAATGGAGCCTGCCCATTCCATTCGTAACCCGAGGATTCGTGGAAGTGAATCTTGTACCTCCTTTCGACCATGCATTCGCTAATCGAATGTGGGGCTCGTTAAGTGCACATAAGGTATTTTAGGGTGGGTAAAGCCATGAGGGGCCTACTGATGGAACAGGCCACCTGCCTAAGGCCTCCCCGACTCACTGAAATACCTCATGCTCCCCACAATTGCTTCCCCCCCCAACCTGCTGCACCAGGGCACTTATCTTGTGAAGATCTAGCAAGCAGTCTCCTCATAGGTTGCTGGCCAAAATAGAGCTTCCAGTGAGTGGATCCAGCCCTCCAAGGCTTCATTTGGCCCTCCGCAGGCCTCCCCCGGCCTGTTGCAGGCTGAAATAGAGCCTCCAGGGTACACATCCAGCTCTCCAATGCTCTTTTCAGCCGTCTGTGGGCCTCCCCTGGCCCATTGCAGGCCACTGAACACAGAATTGGACTAGGACTGCTGAAACATTGCACAGAACTGCGAATGCTGTTCGTCCTTTACGAAAAGTTGCACTTGGAGAGTTTTTATCCTTGATATTTTTAGAATCTGTAATAAGTCTTTGAAACATCCTCTCTTCTAAATCCTTACTCATCACTGTGCTTGTATCTTTTCTCCATTGAAGAAAACATTTACCGTAAAATTAGTAATTATGACTAACAGATGTCTTCTTATCTTGGCCCAGGGAAGGTAACAAATCCATTTACATTTATTGCAATTAATCAGTGCTGACATACTATTATGTTTCCTACCGGATACACTTCAGGCTTGATTAGAGCAAAACATACTGCTTGGGGAGATGAGCACGGAGGGAAAAAGAATTTTCTATCTCTACACTGAACTTCTAATCACCATGGAAGCTCTCAAGGGTTCTTCGCATTATAATGTGGAATGGAAGATTTCATAGATATTTCACCCATTCAACTATGTTGTTGAATAACCAAGTGTAATTACTGCCATCAAATACATATATTCCTATAGAAATACTGACAACAGGAGCTATTTATCCCAGTGCAATCTAATCCATGATTTCCTTTACAGCTGCCTCTGTTGATTTTTCAAAAATTAATAATAGTATTTTGAATTCACAACTGGAGATTTGAGGTGCTAATTTACCCCCTAAAATGTGCTGCTTTCTGTATTATTATTATTTAAATACACATACAATTATTAGTAGCACTTTTGCTGGAAGGGGTTGTACTCATTGGTATATTAAAAGTATTCTTGTTATCATTTCATATCCTCCAAACTGCCTAAAGTATAAGGTAGTCCTTGATTTACAATTCATTTTGTGACCGTTAACCATTATAACAGCATTGAAAAATGTGACTTATTAAAAAACCTTTAATAAAACCTTATTAAAACCTTTGCAGTAGCCCTGTGATCAGGAGATGAAAATTCAGAAGCTTGGACACTGATTGATATTTATGACTGTTGACTGTATCCCAAGATCATATAATCACCTTTTGCAACTTTCTGACAAGCAATGTCAATGAAGAAGCCAAATTCAATTAACAACCAGGTTATTAACTTATCAGCTTCAGGGATTCACATAACAACTGTGGCAAGAACGGTCATAAACCGGGGCAAAACTCACCGAACAAATATCTTACTTAACAACAAAAAGTTGTCAAGGACTATCTGTAAAAGGATTGCTCCAGCCACATGGAGCTTGGAAACTGCCACCAGCAGACCAATGGATTTATTAAGGTGGAAGTTCAAAACCAGCTTTGAAATAAAAATTGACATCTGATCATAGCAATACCTTATTAATCTAAAAGCATTTTGTATCTGATTATTAGTGGAATGGACATAAGAGCATAACACAGGGACTTCACTCCTGTCCATGGGATCCCAGATTGGCTTCCTGTGTTATATTAAAGAAATTGTGTATGAGTCACAAACAGAACGATACTTTGCTGACTTTATTTGTTAGGCAGCACTAGATGACTATCAAATGCATCTTTCATTTATATTGCATTTCTACTGTCCTGATATTTATCAAGTCATTGCATCGGGCATTTGATATATATTTCCCAAGAGTGCATTACAGAGTTAAACAGTGTTTGCTTCCACCTTGTTTGTGACATATTGCATCACCAAAATGGTGCTGGTTTTTTGATCACTTGGTCTTAAAAGAATAGTTCAAAAGACATCCGAGTTCTGAATACAGCTAAGAATGCGAACTGATTTGAATTTCCTCAATCGTTGATATGTCTATTTAATAAGTGCAAAAAGGGGGCTGCAACTTAATCCTTCAGTTAGACCTTTATGATTTACCCACCATAACAAAGAATCTTGGGGCAATAGAGTATTTTCATAAGATTGCAATAATATAAATGATGGGGGTTATATTTCTTTTTCTTTTTTGCATCTAACCAATGATCAAACCAGTACATAATCAGATAGCAAATTGTATGGTAGTCAAGATAGACTGAAGCAAACAGCTGAGGCCACAGCATTTGGATCATCCTGGAAACTGCCAGGTTTGAACTAAATTGAAATTGTTAGTCTTGCTGTCCATAGTGTTTTCTTCCAAAGTCTGTAAATAGGATCGTAAGTTCCAATGGGCTGCCTTTATAAAACATTGACAATGTAGACTTGTCTTAATCTTTATGGCACCTTCAGGAATCTGAGGGAGTCGCATCAGTAGCACGCTTAGTCATATATTTACAAAACAGTGTTTTTGTTGTCACAAGCTTATTAACCCTGTTGGAAGCATATAACTCATTAAATACTTAAAAATATCTCCTCTGTCTTTCCTACATTGGCTTTTTTATCCTTTAACAAGAAGAACAAAAATAAGTAGAAAAATACTAAAATGGCCTCTTTCTCAGCCCTCTCCAACCGGACAGAGAAGGGTCTCTGTTGCTCCTCCAGTGACTGAAAAGCAAATGAGGGGATTATGCAACCACCCCTTGTAGGATGTGTACAAATGACTTGCTTCTTGCAAAACTTTACAAACACTAAGACAACTCCCAAATGAAGCTCTGTGCCTAGAGAAAGTGTTGTCAAACACTCAAATGTACCAGGAGTCTAAAGCAATACAATTCAATTGAGGCAAGTATATAGAATATAGAGTGGAATGGAATAGGAGAATTAGAATATTCTTTATTGGCCAAGTGTGACTGGACACGCAAGAAATTTGTGTCCAGTGCATAAGCTCTCAGTGTACATAAGAACAAAGTGGTAAACCATAAGATAGAATCAGAAATCATAAGATATAACCAACAAAGCAAAAGTCATAAGATACCAACAGGAGCAGGTAATAGGAAAGATGAGAAGGAAAATAGTAGTAGAGCCCTACTATATAGTTAGATGTCCTTAGGCATAAATCAGTGCTGTGGGAATTACACGTTTAGCAGAGTGAACGCATGGGGGGGGGGAGTATCTTTGTGTCTAGTTGTTTTGGCATGCAATGCCCTATAGTGACTCTGCAAGGGGCAGTTTCCCAATCTCCTCATCTCCATTCAGTCACTGTAGCAGCAGTAGAGACTCTTCTCTGTGTCTGAGACGGCTGAGAAAGAAGCCATTTTATTATTTCTCTACTCATTTTCGTACTTTTTGTAAGGGGATAACAAACCTATACAACATTTTGTGGACAACATTTTTAAAAAATTGATAAAAGTTTCTGAAGTAAAAAGTTTTCACTAAAGTTTGCACTTGCTTTCACAACTCTACTGAAACAGCTACTATTCCTGCTATACTGCTTGCAAAAAAACTGCAATATGAATTAACAGAAAATCAACTCAAATCTAGATTTCTTTTGACACAGGGACACCACTCCAGTCCTTGAAGATTACCAATTTTAAATGGATTTGTTCCATCCTTCAAAGAATGCATCCCTCCATTCTTGGAGATATTCCATTACACACAAACAAATGAATAATTAGTCAAGGAAGCTTTAGAACTTTAGATATTCCGTATTTGAATACAAACTGCTAATGCTTTATGAAGACTGTTTACATCTTACTGAATACAGATAGCCTCCACAGTTGTCATGATTTGATGCCTCCCATAAAAGACCATGGCCAAAAATGATTTGATATACATTTATTAAATTAGATAGAATGGGAAATAAGTTGTATAATGCAAACAGCTGAATATGAATAAGAATAATAAAGAAATGTTTTCAGAATTACAGCAAAACACCCTCAGTACAGCATTACAGGTCAGCCAACACAGGCAATAATATCTAGAAAGGGAAACGCTTAGAATCATCAGCACAGTCAGACAGAATTGAATAAAAGGTGGCAAGCATCTAGCTGGGCAAAATGTTCCTGAATTTAACTAGTCTTGGATTCTTGGTGAGTTTAAAGCTACTGTCAACGCACATTAGACTTTTAACACAGCTTCTGGGCTGTGAAGAGATGCTGCGGATTGTGTAACAAACTGCTGTCACAAAGAAGATGATGAAAAATGCAAGGAGTTTTTGCTGCCTAGCATTTACTCTAAGTGGTAGATAACTGGTACATTTCAGTTCTATATCTCAGAAATCTGTATCCCAACTTCACTCAGGACTGCAGGATCTCAATGAAATCCATGGGAAGAATTTCCAACTTTGTTTATAGAATCAAAGTACATCCAGGAATGAACACAAAAACACAGATGTAATTGTAACAATGCTTGCATCCTACTCTTTTGAGAATTGACACTCTGTCATTGGAAAGCTTTTCATCCAGCAGAGCTTTCCTATTGGCTGAATGGCAAAGTGAGAGCCAGGGTCTCTGCCAGTTTCCTTCTCTGCAACCTCCAGATCCTTTACCCCTTCCAAATAAGTACTCTGGAAAAATGAGAGGAATTCTTCTAAAAATTCTTCTAAAAATATCCTCGTCAGTGGAAAACTGCTGATCAGATTTCTGTGAATAAACCTATTAGCAAGAAAACCAAACCAACCATTGGATCTATCTGAATGTGGATTAATTTAACTTCAAAAAGAGCAAGAACACTGACATGTTCTTTAAAACCTTCCTCACTGTCTTATCTCTGAGTAAACTTAAACATCTAGAAATAGGTCTAAACTTTCTTTAAATTTTGTAATAAGAGCTATGAAGACTCTTCAGAAATCTCTCTGGATGTGGACCGTGCATACATAAAAAAGCAGCAGAGGCTTTGAGGTTCAACAAATATCCAGAAGTCAAAATCAATGTGCCAACTATCTGTAAAAATGCAAACACAAGACTTTGGAAGGTACATGATGTATCTGTGCCAAAGCTTCAGCTGAAGCTCACCTCCTGATCCAAAAAGACACTTCATTCACAAGTGAAGCATCACTGAAAAATCTGCATAGCCATATTATGCAGCTCACGTTATTCCACTGGGATAGTATTATGGTGTATTCCAGACTTTTGGCTCCTTGCTTCTAATTAATAAAATATCTTAAGGGTCTTAGCTAAACAAATTCACAAGAATTCACCAATGTATTACTGATATATGACTGACATTAACTGTAACATTAATCTGACAGTACTGCAAACTATGGAGAAAGAAACACACTTGATTTTTAGATGGACACATACCTCTTCTGGAGCTTCTGAAAAGCACTTATTTCATGTAAAAAGCAACAGAAGAGGAAAGGACTGATTTAGCATTCACAAATACCAATCTATTAAACCTATGAGAATAAAATAGCTAGAACTTAAACAAATCAATAAATGGATCTGATATGGTATTTAAAATTATTTTCTCAATATATTTTAACAATTAAAAAAATAAATATTTTAACTATAGCTAGCTCTGCCAGGAGTTTTCATGATGATACAATAAAGCTATTCTAATAGATCTTTTCTATTAGAGAGAAAAAAAAGCAGGAAATAATGAGGTTTTTCTTCTTTCAAAGCAATAAAAATGATCACCTTGATGCCTTATTGTCTTCAAACACTTTAGGAAATACAAAGTATGTCTGGCAATTATAGACAGCATTTAAAAATGTTTAAAACAATTTTAAAAAACTCAAATAGCATGTAAAATGTGTCTATTAAAGTGCATTATTTCACTTTTTCCAACTTTAAACAAATATAAACTTTGTTACCTCCAACAGATCTACAACTCTAATAGAAAATTATGTACAGCTTCTGTATATTGGGATTGTACTCTAAATGTGGCATGTCTTCATTTGTGGCAATGAATTTTTTTCGTATCTTTTGCTTTTAATAGAATTAAGGTTAAATGGAATCTTATGAAACCTTGGAACAGTGAATATTCCATTGAAATATTATACCTTAAAATGAATTGTCAAAAGGGTAAAAAAAAGAAAGATCAGATTTCATCCCGACAAGGTATGTTTCTTTTCAAAGCATTATTGTTTATCACAAGGAGTATATTACATTGGTAATGCTGAATTTCTACAGTATAACCTTCTACTGCTTCAATTTTATGGGTTTCTCACAAATATAGGAGCAAACAAGCATAAAAACACACCAGGAAGATTTCTGTCCCCTTTTGGCATACAAGTAGTCTTCAGGTTGCGATAGCAATTGTGCCATTAAGAAATACGGTCATAAAATGGGACACATGTGACTGCATCACTTAGCAACAGCAATTTCAGCTGGTAAGCAAGGACCTCACATGACCGTGATATGGAAAGAGGCACTGAAATGGCATCCCAAGCAAGCAGTCAAAGGACAAACGCTATGGGCAAGCTTGTGGTTTGGGTGGGCGCTACAGAGTGCAGGTAGGCAGGTGCTCTACGTGGGTACTATGGAATGCAGGTTGGCGGATGTGGTGGGAGATGGAGTATAAGATCTTCATGCGCCCAGGGGTTGCTTGGAAGAAAAAGTGGGGACAGCAGAAATGACTTGCAAGAGTAACTTGTGATCTCCTGCCAGTTTCCCCAGACTTTGCTTGTGGGAAGCTGGTGATCATGTGACTGCCGAATGCTGCGATGGCCACAACCTCAAGGACCCATCATAAGTCCCCCTCATTCAACACTGTCATAATTTTGAATGGCTGCTGAAGAAATGCTTGTAACCCAAAAACTACCTGTATGTTTCTGTCTCTTGCAAAAGGACTGATTGTAAGTTAGGAACACAGCAAATTAAAAATTATAAATACATTGCATTGGTGCCCAATGAGTAGATTGGAAAGTGGTCTCTCATTAGTAAAACTGTGAAAGTTGAAACAAAGCTAGTATCCCTGTAGTAGCAAGTATTACAATTTGCTTTAATGTTCAAATATCACTAAACAAGGCAAAGGGCGCTGTGTGATCACTTTTTGTCTCACAGGAAGGGATTGCTTGAGAGACAGATTGCTTTTAATAAAAGCACTTTGTAGAACAGCAGTCTCCCTCATCCCTCAATTGATATTCACCCTACTCCCGGACTTCCAAATGCATAATGCATACAAGTGGGGGAGAAAGTTGTTGGTTTCGGAAAGCAAACAAAAAAAGGGGGAGGGGAATTGGTAGTGGTATTTCAACACTACCTTTCATCAGAAATGCGAACAGGGTAGAAGTGACAGCTATAAAATGGCTGAGATTTCTGTAAGATTATCTGTAAAAACCAATATTCCAATGACCACCCATGACAAAAATGGATTACAGCCTCTCAGATAGGTTGCTTGCTTGGGAATTTTTTTTTTTTTTTGACTAAATTCCTGGCTTGGCAAATCAAAATTAAAGGTAACAATGAAGGGCAGTATGAGAATGATCTAAGCCTCTTCTGCAATTTGAAGCAAGGAATTGATAGCAGCATCCTTGTTCCCCCTCTGAGCTTCTAGTACTGAACGGATTACTTCTCTGTCCATGTTGGGGAACATGTCCTGGATAGATTTTAGATCCTCTTCATTACATACATGCTGAGGGTTGGCTGCAGGTGGAGGAACTGCCACAGGTACCATGCCTGGATTACAAACAGCAGGCATCCCTAGAAAAAGACAGAGAATGGAGATTGATTGGAAAATACCAAATTCTAATTAATTTAAATGTGTCGCAGTGTTTAAAAACTCCCCTTTAAGAAATTCAGTTAATCCCAGACATATAGATAAAAAGCATTTAAGCAGGTACAATAAAATACCAGATACAATTCTTGATCATTAAAGTTGTATGAAAGATGTTGGTGAACATTGGTGGTAAGTGTCACAGAATATAATAATTGATGAAAGCTGTTCTCCTAGTTCATCAAGAAACAAATAACTTCCCATAATCCACAACAATTAACCAAAATCGAACTGGTTTAACTCCTAACAACTTTATAATAATAAATCTTCTTGCTGGTATCCAAATAGTCATCCAGTTTGTTGATCATCAGTAATCTGAAACGCCATTGATTTATATAGTACAGAAATGATATTTATAAGATATCATCTAAAATGAAGCCAGCATGTTATGATATGATGTTAAACAAAATGCCATTTACTAGAAATTCTGATTTTGTGAATCTTTATTAACAGTTTCAATAATTAAATTTAGTTTTCTTAACTAACGATTTAAATGATGACCTATACCAGTGGTCCCCAACCTTTTTTGTACCAGGGACCAGTTTCAGGCAGAAACACTTTTTCAAGGACCGGGGGAGGGGGGGGGAGGAAGGAGTCCGAGTTTGGTGGTTTGCTTGCAGACGTTTCATTACCTGACTAGGTAACATCTGATGTTGTTACCTAGTCGGGTAATAAAACGTCTGCCAGCAAACCACCAAGTTCAGGGAGCGCCAATGCCTCCTCATTGCAACCCTGAGCGACAGATATTTTCTTCTATTGGGACATTTAAAACGGAGGGTTTCAGCTGCAGATTCAGAAACTGCGCCGGGCTGAGGAGCACCTTCAAAACTGAGCGCTGGGCGGCGGCGGCCCACGCTGTCTCCGCGGCTCAGGACAAGTCCCTGCAGGACGGCTGAGAAGCCCCGCCTCTCGGCCCTGCCTCGCTCAGCCTCATCCCTCAGGTGTCTGCCTCGTTCCTCTCTCAGTCACTCTCTCGCTCCTCCACTAGCCCAGGAAGAAACTGCTTCAAAGAAGCCGGCAGGGTGGCTTTTCCTGTCAGCGCAGCTCCCCCGAAGCGCCCGCTCACCCCCACCCCGCCGCCCGTGGTTCAATCCAGTGCTCCGTTCTGCCTGCCTGCCTTCGTTTCTGGTTGTTTCGGAGCAGTTTGGCTGAGAAAAAGAGGCGAATAGTTATTATTCTCAGCCGAAGCTGCTCCGAAACAACCAGAAACGAAGGCAGGCAGGCAGGCAGAATGGAGCACTGGATTGAACCTGGATTGATTGGCGGCGGGGTGGGTGGGTGAACGGGCGCTTCGGGGGAGCTGCGCCGACAGGAAAAGCCACCCTGCCGGCTTCTTTGAAGCAGTTTCTTCCTGGGCTGGTGGAGGAGCGAGAGAGCGACTGAGAGGAACGAGGCGGGAGGAAACCGAAGCCACTGAGCCAGAGAGCAGGACAGGCTTTGGTTGCTTCCTCCTTCCCCTTCTTTCATTTGTCTCCTTGATCCCTGATCCCAGCAGCATTCACCGAAGGCGAAGAAAGCCGCCATTTTTTAAAATTATTTTTTCTTTGCGGCCCGGTGCAAAGTGATCCACGGACCGGTACCGGTCCGCAGCCCGGTGGTTGGGGACCCCTGACCTATACCTTTACAAGTCAGGCAGATGTAGGAGACTGGATTCCCCCTCTGCTTCTGACTAATTGGAGTCCATTTTTACATGGAATCCTGGGACATTTAAAAAGGTGGAAATTTCCATTAATTAAAAAAAAAATCTCTTTGTGCTACAAACCTAAAACAACAATTTAGCTCTGTGATATAGTCCCATTTAAATATAAGAAACCACCCCTGAAAATAAACTATTTTTTCCTAAATTCTATGAAGAGTTGGTTCAGTGTTGATTATTTGTAATCAATGCAAGCAAGATGAGAAATGTGGCAATTACATTAGAAAATGCTACTGATTTTCAAGAACTATCCGAGTAGGAAGAGAAGGAGTGCATCCAGGCAACACAGAAACCAAGGTATACACTCTTCTGTTTTAAGCAGTATGTTTTTTTTAAGAGAGAACAAAGAAATGCTGATCCTTTAAGATGGTTGCCAACTTCTCAAGGCAATTAGCCAGGACTTCCCTGAATCCCTGTGTCCTGCAATAATACTTCCTGAATATCAGTCCTGCTTTGCAGTCGTGAAAAGATAAAGAAGAAAACTGACTATTTCCAATTATCTTCAGAGTGAATCAAAGAAACTGGCAAAGGAAACAAGAGTCTGCCAAGGATAGAGGAAGAATGGAAACTATATAAATATAACAATTTAGAGAGAATGATGCACAATTAGTAGGAATTATTATTTTATCCTTGAACATATAGTGAATAAACCAAACTTTGCTATTTAAAAAAAACCCTTAGCACAGCTGGTTTCTCACTATTGAAAAGTTAATTAATAATGCCAATAGAAACAGAGGATATTAATTATTTCAACTTCTGAGTTGAAGCTATAACTAGATTTAGACACCCTCTGATAACTGTGAGAGGTCCACTATGTTAAGAAAAGAAGTTCAAATAAAGAATAAATGATATTACAACATTGTATTGTGCACTTATTATCTTGTTTTTATATTTGAGGGAAACCTCTAATACTGATAATTATTAGATTTGCTTATAAGCTTCAAATTGATGGAGTGGGAGAAAAAATGAACTTAATTCATAGAAACCTAACTTGCAGAAGCTTTTCCCATATTTGGATTAGCAATGTAGGTACCAATCCAGATTTTTACAGACCATAATCCAATGTTATTTTGTGTACAGTATACTGTAATGCATATGGCATACTGTTATGCATACTGTTTTGCAGCATGTATTAAGAAAAATCTTAAATCTTAAAGAAAAATCCTGAATAAATACAGAATTATAAACCACTTCAAAAGAGCAACCTCCACTGGATTTTCTTTTAGAAAACCATTACAAGGAATTTTCAGATTTACTCTACCACTAACATTAATTGTACCATGCTTTACAAAAATGCCAAAACATCTTGTGCCTCTTTTCAATTTAATAATATCTTCATTCAAGTAATTTCCTTTGGAAAATCAATATTGCCAATTAATACAAACTAACATTAAAATATGTTTTTACATCAAAACAGACACTTCAATCATTTATCAACTTGCTTTTGAATTTAAACAAGCAAATGCAGTACAGAATAATCAATAAAGAATTGAAAACAGAATTTACCATAGTCCATTATTTTCCATTTAAAATGTGCTCTTCAAGTTTATAAAATTAATTTGGCATCAGTATTGCTAAAGTGCATCAGCACTGATAAAGTGAGAAAGCATATAGATATAAGCAATAGCACTTAAATGAAATGAAAATGTAAAAAATGGCAATGGGTTTGATGATACATGATATTTTTACAAAGCAACACTCAGTATAAAAAATAAATCAATTCATATTATGCAGAAAATATTACAGAATTTAAAGACAATATTCTAATGCAGTCAAGTGCCTTTATATCCAAATTACCTTTTCTCATCACTTTTGATCTCATAGGAGAAATACAATATTTTATTTTGAAATATTTTCAAATGTATCAAAGAGGAAGAAAACTTTCCAAGCTTCATTATTACCGGTAGCTTTGTATCTGATTCAAGTAGTGTATCATCTTGTTTTCTTGAGTGAGGACTCCCCTGCCCAAACTAAAACTTATGATGAATATTAAACACATATCATAACCAGAGAAGGACACTGTTGTACTTTTTTTTTTTTTGCATTTCTTCCTTTAGCCTGACTGTTCTCAAATCCTGAGCATTTATTTAATCAAGCAAATGGCATTTCCTCAAGACACTTGACTGAACATTTTATACCGTAGTAAGGATGTCACAATACTGACTTTTTAATGATGAATTTAATACTACGTTGCAAGAGAGACAGTGGAAATGCAGCTCGTTTTTATTCCTTCCTATGTTTTATAATAAAGCAAATGAAGCTTGTAAAAATACCAGTTGCGAAAACTAGATGGTTACCAAACTCTGTGGGTTTTTTTGCAAAGGAATCTAAAATGATCCAGATTCCCTTAGTAGTGTCCTGGAGTAAACAGACTTAAATGTAAGCATATTTGAGATAAAGTGAAGCAAATGACCATATTACTGTTTGAAACTTTTTTTCCAATTGGACCCTATTTATTTAAATTTAAAGGCTGCCCAACTTCAAACAACGGAGAAAGACAAAATGGACGAATCATTAAATTCTAAATGTCTGGAAAGACCAACGTAACACCCATACATCCAAACCCCACCTCCACTAGAAATGTCAGGGGTCCATCAGTTACTCTGTCCCCAGGCCCTGGAGCAGAAACAAACGTTGAAGAATTTTCAGAACACCTTCATGACAGGAACCATGTGGACCTCACAAAATAGGAATGAACCATGGGCATATTGTAATATGCCCATCACTGCCACCATGGACCAGCTGTATCTCTGTGTATCTAGCAATGGCTTTGCATTTGCAAATATCTCTAGATGACATGAAAAACTGAACAATACTAAATTAATCTCTCTCTCCGTCTCTCTCTCTCTCCACATATTACAAACAAATCATGATGTTGCAGAGTATAACTCAACAGAAAACAACATACTGTAATGGAACTGTTTGTTAAGGTGATAATAGAGAACCCAACAAAACTTTACTTGAAATTGAGTCAACCTCCAACTAATAGAATGCTTTCTGGGTAACACAATGTTACTTCACCACATTCAAACATCTTGAACAAGTGCTTCCTATATACCAGGGGTCCCCAAACCCAGGGCTGCACAAGTAGCGGGTAAGTGCATAAAGCTGGATTTGCGCAAGCGGCGCCCACAGATGAAACCATCCCCTCTCGCCACCGCCGGTCCACAGAGTTGGAAAGGTTGGGGACCGCTGCTATATACAACCCAAAGCATATTTATACTTCAATTC